ACAAACATACCCAATTCGGCCTCCACCGACTTCAGCTTTGTGAGGAATGTGGCCTCGTCTAGATGCTCTTTGCCACCGCTGAGGTCTGCATAAAGCTCCTTGCTCGTTGCGCTGCTGCAGATAGTCTGAAGTAGCCAGCAACTTATTGAACATGAGGTTGGAATCAAACTCAAGATGATTTGTTCTATTTCAGAGTGGAAGGAAGTAGGAATTCGGACACGCACAATTGTGCTACAGTGCTAAAGTGAGATTGCTAGACAACTTCATGTCTGCACTTCGAAGAAATACTTGTCCAATTCCTTGGGAGTCTTTTCAGACTTCTGCATCAGCAGCTTCCTCGGCACTCTCAAGGTCATGTCATGAAACTATGCTCCAAAACAAGCTATATGCACTTCACACTCATCAATCTGGCCAAATGGCAAGCTGTCAACAGCATGCGACAAAAAGACTACGCTCGTCATTCCGCCGTCCTGCAGCACCAGGTCTGTTTGACTTTGAAGCATGGCAATAAATCAAGTCAAAGCCTACTTCACCAACCTGGGTTGTAAATGGTCTGTGAATTGTGTGTGTGTGCCACACAATGGCCCATTCTTTTGCATGTGAAGAACCTTTCATACCGCGCCACCTTAAACTCAGGGAGGGCCGCACGCATGTCACTTGAGCAGTGGCAACCGCTTGGCCATGAGAGAGGAGAAAAGAAGCCGCCGTGCTGACACAGCACAAATCAAGAAGTGAAACAAAACCTAGAGAGCTTGGGAACATGAAAGAACTCACCTTTCATCCTCCTACCTTGATTGTAGTCACAGCATGTCCAGTTTGGGGGCCTTTTCCATACAATATTATATATATATATGAATTGTATGTCTGGTCGTTGGAAGCTATCAGAAACTATTCAAGTCCTCGGTCATTTCAGCTGCCCTTTGGGAGGTGTTGTTGAGCATCTTCTCCAGTTTTGCGATCCTTAATCAACATCACAACCAAAAGACCCCGTTCTGTCACTAGATGGGAAAGTGGAGGAACATGGAAGACCCAGTGAAATCGTGTAATTAAGGCATATTCCTGAAAATGATTGACCAGTCAAATGCTACACTGCACAAGATACGTCTCTTCTTCGTTGTCAATTGTGCTCACCCTCTCTTATGGCCAACCTCCGAAGGGTAAAACAGGTGTCCAACTACCCGAAGAAGTTTTCCAAAGCGACTGATGAAACTTCAAGAAAGAACGGGGAAGAACCAAAGGACAACGTGATCCACATGCGTTGGCAAAAAAGAAAACAAAAAAATGCATCAAAAAAAACAGCGCATGATCCACATGCGATGCCCGTAGGCCATCGTAGGCATCGCCAACGAACAAATCGTAGGCCGGGATGCTGGTCAGATGCATCTTTCAGCAAGCGTTGAGCCACAAATTTGTGCTCCTGCATGAGGCCGAATCAATGACGTGGAGTACACCCGTTCAAAAGCCTAGATAAGTCTCAAAACGGAGACTTGTGTTCTAATCGAAAAGAACCTCACCAGTGGTGCTTTTGCATCATGGAGTGCCATGAACTTTTCAAAAGTTCAGTATCCTGCTCTTTGATGGCACCCCTCTGTTTGTCCAAAGTTGCGAGCATCTTCGCCAGCTGCTCGAGCTGTTTGTTGATCTCCTCACAAGCGACCACATCCAATTGGATCTGAAAGGCTCCGGTCAGCGATGGCCTCCAACCTAAGAGCGATGGCCTCCAACCTAAGATCTATGGCCACCAACCTACTAGCAAAAGGAAACTAGTAGTGAACCTAGTAGCCCAGTTCTCTGTTTGTCCAACGCAACTTAAAGGTATCATGTCGTGGCTCTACCTCTTCCCATTCATTCGTGGACGTCCTCCAACACAGATGGAGGTCCACTTCCATTTTTCACATCGCGTTGCCTGCGCAATGCAAGTGTCCGGCTGCCGTCTCTACTCCACTGGTTGCATGGGTTGCTTCTTTAGAGTTCTCGAAGGAGTGTGACATAAACATTTGCTGGCTCACTCACCCGTCGCCACCATCATACAAAAATCTGATCAATCTGAGTAACCCTTCACCCAGTAGAACAGCATAATTAATATAAAGTGTGTACCAACATAAAGAAAAGGCCAACAAGAACAAGCAAGAGTGCCAAAGATTCTCTATCCAAAGTCTGCTTTGAAGTCGGTCCGTTCACTTCGCCTGGAGAGCAGCAGCTTCTGAGCCGACGTGACAATATTCCTGGCTTCAGTCTGGGCTTCACCAGCCTCAGCATCGACAAGCATCAGTCATTGTGTCCATCAAAAACGTTGCAGTACTGAAACAAAACACCAAGCAACCACTTTGATGAACCAAAACGTCACAAGCCAAGGTGAAAAATGAGCAGGTACCCAAATGAGGTCTTGAGTCGAAACAGGGTGTCTCATCTTCTTTTCAGTCGAAACACGCGGTTTCCCACTGAGACTCTCAAGTGCTGACGAATCATCAGGTCCGATTCCAGCGTCCATGTTAGTTTTGTAAAAATGGGATCATGTCCGATCTCTCACAACACCTCCACCACTGCCCAGTTCCTCAAAATCAGTAAAAAGCACTACCAAAACCAGTGTTCACTCCATCTGGGGGATTTCGTGATTCCGACCACCCGGTCTGGTCTTCGCTCCACCGAAGAAGCTCGGCGTTTTACCGAAGGTCCGGCCCACACGGAGCGGAGCAGAGTGACGGCGACGGAACTCGCCTTCTCGCACGAGGACTTCATGAAATCGGCGCCGAGGGAGTCTCCTTTTTCGGCCAAGGAAACGAAAAAAACAAAACATTGCGACGAGGCCAGCTCGTAAAATCTGATATATGGGCCAAGGATGAAAGCTATTGGACTTACAAGATCAAAAACAAAAAAACATTCAAAAATTTATTCAGCTTATTGAACCATATTGAACCTGGGTCTGGCACCAACCCGACTCAGACAAATGGCTCCGTCCTTCTGGCTTGGTCTCCTCTGCCTCTGCAGACCTTAAGACGTAGGCTGAACAAGACAAGCCTGTGTCCAAAACCAAACAACAGCGAGAACTGGAGCACTGAGCAGCATGCTGGCCGTTTTGACTGAGGTTTTCCAGATTTGCAATGGCCTCTTCGGCGGCTTTCACCTTTTTCTCTGCCTGGGAATTGGGGAGCTCATGGGAGCAGATGTGAGCAAAATGGAGAACGGTGAACAAAGGCGTCTGCCCAACCATGGTAAAGAGCACGGCGGAGAGGAGACAAGAGAAGGTACCGACCCGGTGGCTTCTGTCCTCCATGACTTTTCCCTCCACTTCTTTCTTCACCAGGTCCTTGCTACGAATCACCCACCAAGTCGAGCAGCAGTGTAACAAGTTATATAGAGTGAGTCAAAAGGCATGGCCTGCTTCCGCTCGTTCATGGCTCTCCTTGGTTGCTGCCAATCTGTTGGCTGGAAGAAAGTGAGAAGGATCATGCAACGTGGCACATCAATGCCTTCTTTGCCAATCTACCAGGACACACAACAGTAGCAACTACTGTATATATATATATATACCTGAGTCAAAGCGTCTTGCTGTCCGACAGTGCCTTTGTCATCTCGTCCAGGCGTGTAACAACTCCACTGAGCTGTTCCTCGCGTGCAGTCCAACTCCACGGGACGGGCGAATCACGAAGGACGCGGCGGAGTCGGAGTCGCGGAGTTCTCCTAAGCCTTTTCACCTTCCAGGAAGAGACTCGTCGATTGAATTCTTTCAGTTGGAAAGTACATCCAACATGGAAATGACACTGCAGAAAGGCATCGAAAATCCGTGAGCCCGGTGGGGCCCCCGGTGGGGCCCCGGTCGGGCCCGTGGGTCCTCTGCAGCCTTCTTGGAGCCTTCGCCCAAGCGCCGCGCTGCCAGTTTCTTGACCTCAAAGTGTTCCCGTTTGACACTTTGCCGTAGCTCATGGGATTGGCCGATGAAATATCGTGAAAGCAGACAGTAAACTGCCTTGCTGAATCCTGTTGAGCTTTGGTGGTTTTGGTGATTTATCTGTACAGTTCCGGGGGGGCCCGCAACAGGAATTACTGCAAAGTGAAATCCAACGGGCCATTCCAAAGCAGCTCATCTCTTGAGCCACCCCACGCCCACGAAGGTCTTCGCACCACTCAGCGTCTGGGTGGCAGCTTGAGCTGCAGCATCCAAAGCAGACAAGGCGTCTGAGACCTGTTCTCGGCTGTCTTGGAGAGTTGCCCAAGAGGCAAGGACATGGGAGCTTGTCCCCACACGAACAGGGAAAAGCTCTCTATGAGTCTATGTCAAGGAGCATCATTCCGACCAATTCTTAGCTTTGATTGTGGAATGGATGTCCATGACCACACGTCAGTCCCACACTTGCCAGTATCACACATCAGAAGGTCCGGTCGGGGCGTGCGGACCCTGCCCTGTCGATCCACCATTCGCCCCCAAACAACTGATCCAACCCGTGCCCGGCGGCAGAACTCGAATTATTGTGGCTAGGCCGCCGAGCTGAATCAAGCCGAATTCTATATATTATATATATGCATCCCGGTCGCATCTTTTCACTCAAGGCCAGTGCACATCT